GGGAAGGTACGGCGCGCCATTTTGGCCGCGTCCGCTTTGCTTCCTGGGTGACTGACCCTTCAGACTCCCTGGGTTGCAGCTTGCACGACCGCCTGGCCTCTCAGACGCCCTGGGTTGCTGCTTGCCCCGCCGCCTGATCCGCGGCCCCCGCGCGCGCCCGGGAATTCGTCACGGCCGCAACCCGACCGTGACCCCTCGCCGCCGGCGCTTCCGCCTGCGGCTGTAAAAAAAGTATCATTCGCCGCATCCGTCTTCTCCGTCTGTTTCCTTCTGATGCCTGCGTCCCCGCTCCTGGGTCGCCCGCATCTTAATGGGGGGCATTTTGTCCCTGGCACGTGCACTTGTTGCGTCGGCCTATGCGCCGTCGTAGCCAATTATCTCGCCCTGTGCCCCAGCCGAGACCGTCCCGCTTCTTGGATCTGTCCTTGTGAGCCGCCAATCAAAAAAAAGTATCATTCGCCGCTGGCGCCCTCGCTTGCGGTTGCGACGAAAAGTATCACCACCAGCTTCGCCGACACGATGTTTTGGCAATTGTGTCGCCTACGGCACGGATGTCGTCCGGGTGTGCCTGTCGGTCTAGTTCGTCTCTGACGGTGCTGTTTGTCTGTTACACCGAGCGATCGACCTCTGCGTGCCATTTTGGCTGCGCTTCCTTTCTGGTCGCCACCGGGATTTCCAACGCCACCGGGTTTGGGAGTATCGGTTTTGGCTCTCCTTCTGAGTGGCTGCCCGTTCGCTCGCTTTGCTTGCCCTTCTTTTCCTGCTGCCTAGTCGCGGCCCGACTAGTGCTCGGACGGCTTTCGACCCGCCTCGCGAGCCTGTTGACCAAAAAGTATTACCACCAGCTCCTCCAAAAACACTTGCAAGGGGAGTTGCTAGAATGAGGGCAGTGTAGGAGCAGCATGCAGTGGTGCGGGCCACCGTGGAAGCGTTGTCGGGGTGCAGTACAGGCGGATATCTTAGCTTACTTACATAACAAATGGTCCCCTGGCTTTTTTCGTTCCGCGATGATTTTGTGGAGTTGTCTTGCATGTCTCTCGGGCTCACAGGATTCTCGGGCACTTCTGTTGTGTTGCGTCGAGGGTCGGTAGAAGCGATTGCGGGGCGAGCGGCCCGAATCAGGGAATCGTAGAACCCCTTTTTTTGATCAGTGGGGCTCAAGGCTCTGGATGTATAGCCATCACAAGAGTCGTCCCCTCTTTGCAGGGTCTTTGCAGGGCCTCTGCAGGGGAGGGGGCCCTGCAAAGACCCTGCAGAACGAAGGTTTTGGAGGCCTTTTGGATCGATGTTGGGCCCCATGGCTCACAGAGGCTGGGGTATGAAATCCAAGACCCCCCTTGGAGGCTCAGAAAAGACGTCTCCGGGCCCTCTTAGGGCCCTCTTGGGGCGCTCTTGGGGCGCTCTTGGGCGCTCTTGGGGCCCTTGGGGCCCTCTTGGCCTCTTGGGCCGTTTTGAGGCCTCAGAAGCCGATCGGAAGCGAAAAGGCGAGATGACCAACAACATGGAACTTCTATGTTGTAGACGATTTTAGCCTCTTGGGGGGTGCCCTGGAAGGCTCGGAGGGCACTGAGAAACGTACTGGAGTCGTCTCGAGGCTTCTTGGAGACATGTCGGAGGCTATCTTGACACATCTCGAAGCATTTTGGGCCATCTTGGAGGCCCTCTTGGGCTCTCTGAGGCCCTCTTGCATCCATCTTGGATCGAAGAGCCCAGGGCAGTTGGTAGGGGGAGGGGTGAACCCCTCCCCCGAGCATGGGAGGGAGGGAGCTCTGGCAGATAGAAGACAAAACTCGCTAAGCCACCCACGCCCAGAGGACTGGCTGGATTCTACCATTCTGAAGTCGGGCGTGTCCCTCTACAGGAGGAATCTTGAAAAATACGGAAAAAAGAGTCCAGGGACGATTTGCCGACCAGTTCTGATTATTTTTGAGCATGTTTTGATTTTTCCTCGGAAATCCGCCTGTAGGGGACATGCTCGACCTAACTCCATCTCGCATCCAGGGCATCTCCAGGCGGCACCGTCGCCAAATATTCGTTTGTGACAGCGAAACATTTGACAGTGTGCACATGTATGCCCTCAGCGATCGAGCGTGAACGAGCGACAGAAGGAGGATGAGGCGGAGGAGGGAGGGAGGGAGGGAGGGAGGAGGGAGGGATGGGAGGGAGGGAGGGAGGGAGGGAGGGAGGGAGGGAGGGAGGGAGGGAGGGAGGAGGGAGGGAGGAGGAGGAGGAGGAGGAGGAGGAGGAGGAGGAGGAGGAGGAGGAGGAGGAGGGAGGGAGGGATGAGGAGGGGCGGAGGCAGACCGCGTGGGTGTGCACGCCGCCGTCCTCTTTGAACTCGGACCCTCCCCCGACGAGCGCGCGAGCGCCCCGCCCGCTCGACGAGGCGCGGACGCCGCCGCGCACCTGGACAGTTCGAGGCCACACCCGTGGCCGAGCGAGCGATCGCGTGTGCTCCTCTTCACGTCGAGGCCACAGCCATGCGTGTAGTGCACCGTCCGCCGCCGCCCCCTCCTTTCAGGGCCCATCCCGATCCCGTCGATCCGCTTCGATATCGGTCCAGACCGGCTCGGCCTCGTTCCATTCCGACCTTCTGCCGATCCGATGCGGCCCGAGGCTGGCGTGGCGCTGCTGTGCGCCCCTGGCGCAGCCAGTCCGACTCGCTTCCGACTCCGTGCCGATGCGGCCCGATCCGACTCGCAGCCCGATGTCGCGCCGCTGTCCTGGCGCGGTGCCGATGGATCCTGCCTTTCGCGACCGCGCGCGAGGGCTTCTCGGCCACAGCCCCCTTCCAAGGGGCCCTCCCCCCTCCCCCCCCCTCTGCTCGCCGCCAATGTTTCGGACGGCTTTCTCGCCAGCTGCGCCACGATAAGGGCGGCGGTGATATTCACGGCCAAGCCTCCATTGGAGTCCCACCGACTTCCAGACCCTGGATTCACTACCTGAGGGTTTCTTGTCCCATGCCCCCACCGCAGCTCTGAGAAGGAACTGTCCGGAAATTGCGCCGGGATGAGGGACGCCCCCTCGGGGAAGGAGTCGGGACCTCCCTGGGGGCGACGGGGTCAGGAGGAGGAGTGAGGAGGGAGGAGGGAGGAGGAGGAGGAAGAGGAGGGAGGAGGGAGGGAGGAGGAGGAGGAGGAGGAGGGAGGAAGGAGGGAGGAGGAGGGAGGAGGAGGACGGAGGGACGAGGAGGGAGGAGGAGGAGGAGGAGGGGAGGAGGAGAAGCAGCAGCGAGAGAGAGGGCTCGCTTCGGGGGGGGGGGCCCGAGGCGCCCCCGGGGGGACGGCCGGCGGGAGCCCTCGGGCGCCGGCCCGCAGGCTTGGGGGGCTGGGGGGGCGCGCCTCGGCGGGGTCCGGAGGGACGTCGGCCAGACGTAAGAGTGGCCTTTCGCCGGCGTGGCCTTTAGTGCGGGCCAAGTGGGGTCCCCCGATCGCCCAATGGGGTCCCCCGATCCCGCCCGCCAAGCCCCGCCCCCGCCCCCGAGCCCCGCCCCCGACCCCCCCCCCCCCCCCACCCTCGCGGGCCCCGCCCTCGAGCCCCTCCGAGCCCCGCCCCCGCCCCCGAGCCCGGAGCGGGCCTCTCCGCACCCGAGCGGGGGCGTCTGCGACGCCCCTGGTCCCACCTTCTCGCCGACGCCTGGAGGCTCGCTTGGGCAACCTTGGGGAGACTCGCGGCCCGTCTCTGGGCCCTCGTGGGAGACGCTCTGGGGTCTTGCGCGCTTCTGTTTGGCCCCCTCGCGGCCCCCCAAAAGCCGCGCACACCAAAGGTCACTCTTGCCCAGGGTCACTCTTGCGCGTAGCCGATGAGGGACGGGGTCCCGAGGACGGAGGGTGGCTTTGCACTGTTTGAGGCTCCTCCATAGGGGAACGACCAGTGGCGTAAACCCTTTTTGATCCGCGGGTCGAGAGCGCACATCTTCCGGTCGAAGCTGAGCGGGCCGCGCACAGCTTTCGTTAGCAAAAGGGGAGGGGCAGAAGGAGGGGCCTCACACAGCAGTGACATAAACACAACACCTCGAAGGTCCGCGCGGATTTCTCGGATTGGCGCTGGGCTCCCTCTCCCCGGCGCGCGGAGCGCGCCAGGGGCGGCGCTGCCAGGCCGGGCGATCCCGGGAGGCGGTCTCTCCTTGTCCCCTCCCTGTGGGACTCCTCCGTGTTGTTGGCTGACCTCCACTGCTCGGGGGGTACTAGAGGTGCCCCTGGCCCAAGGTGCCCCCAGCTTTTCGATCGATTTTAGAAACCCTGGGGCCCTTTTTGTCTCGTGAGGGGTGCTCTCGATGCCTTTGGGGCCTCCTTGGGAGTCCTGGGGGCACCTTGGGCCAGGGGCACTTCTAGCAGCACCCGAACTGCACTGGAGGGCCCGCAGGCAGACCTTTTCGGAGGTCCGCGGCAGAGCGTGGTGTCGACCCCCCTCTCTGGCCGCAGACTGAAAACGAGGCGGCCTATATACATCCTCCAAGTTGTTGCGCATGTTCAGGAGGAGTGCGCGCAGTGCACAGGGGCGAGCAGCGCGTTCTGAAAGCGAGTCGGCCTCCATCCTCGAAGCTGCTTCGGCGGGTTGAAGGAACAGCGTGCGCGGTGCTGAGGCGAGGGCCGCATTTTGAGAAAGCCGCCCGCCCTCCATCGTTGAGGCCGTCGGGGTTGAGCTCCAGGATGGCCAATCGCAGGGGCGCCTCAGGCGGAGCGTCTGGCCCGGCCTGGTCCGCGGGCACGTCTTGCCGTGCGGCAGGAGGATGTCAGGTACACGGAGCGAGGGCGGATGAGGACAACGAGATGTTCCGGGTCCCCCCCCTCTGCGGTGGACGAGCCCGCGTCTGGGCACACCGAGGGCGGCGGACGGGAGTGATGAGGACAAGTAGGGGCTCCTTCTCCCTCCTTCCCTTCCACCTCATTCTCCTCCCTCTGTCGTCCCTCCTCCACCTCCTTCTCCCTCCCCCCTTTTCTCATTACTACAGAAGACGCGGAGGAGGGGAAGGATGGAGGGCTGATGGTCCCTCCCTCCGCGGAGGACGACCCCGCGTCGGGCAAGCCAACCGCCCGCCAGCTGCGGCGGCACTTCGTACAGAGCATGGTGCCAATGGTCGGCTTCGGGTTCATGGACAACACGGTCATGATCCACGCTGGAGACGCGCGGGGGGTGGAGCGGGGGGGGAAGGGGCAGGAGGGCGCAGAGGGGGGGGGTTCGAGGAGGGGGGAGGTCGCGCCAAATCTCAGATTGGGTCTCGTCATCTCGCTGACGGCCCCGCCAGGCCAGCCCGAGTGCCCCGAACCCGAGTCGCACGTCTCCCCGAAAGGGCTCCTCGGGCGTTGTCGCGGGTTCCCCTCGCCCAGAACGGCCTTCGCTCAGGGTGGTCACACCGTTTCCAGGGAGGCCAGATGGCCTTTTGATGGCCCCAGGGGCTCCACAAGTCGCGTGCGAAATCGAGGGCGCCTTTGGCCAGGACCACCTCTGGCAACCGCCGATCTGCATAGAGCCTTCGAGATCGTCTCTTCTTCTCCCCTGTGCGCAAGCGCCTCCGCCTGGCCCCCGGGGCAGGAAACGCGATAGACCTCACCCTGGGCGTCACCCTGGGCCTCAGCACCTTGGCGGCGGCCGCCTGCGGCCAGATCTGCAGCGACGTGGCCGGGGTGACGTTCGGGGGTGCCATCGAGTCCGCCGCCATGAAGCTCGGGTGCCGCCGCTCGACCGGGGGGAGCAGGAGGAGGAGGAGGAGGAGGAGGAGGAGGAGGAGGAGGAGGAGGAGGAGGAGGAGGAGGAGGAGGAGGAGGAGGAGGAGGCGGAGAGGCGGAGGCGGAGGCGGAGGCGGAGGCGGAGGCGGAGGGCGGAGGCGGAGGCGGAGGCGGAGGCGGAGGCGGAGGCGGAGGCGGAGGCGGAGGCGGAGGCGGAGGCGGAGGAGGAGGAGGGAGGAGGAGGAGGAGGAGAGGAGGGAGGAGGAGGAGGAGGAGGAGGAGGCGGAGGAGGAGGAGGAGGAGGAGGAGGAGGAGGAGGAGGAGAGGAGGAGGAGGAGGAGGAAGGAGGAGGAGGGGGGAGGGGGAGGGGGAGAGGGGAGGGGGGAGGGGGAGGGGGAGGGGGAGGGGGAAGGGGGAGGGGGAGGGGGAGGGGAGGGGGAGGGGGAGGGGGAGGAGAGGAGGAGGAGGAGGAGGAGGAGGGGGAGGAGGAGGAGGAGGGGGGGGAGGAGGAGGAGGAGGAGGGGGAGGGTATCAATGAGAAATCCTCATAGCCCCCCCAAGGCCAGGCGGTCAAAGCCGTAAGACACAGTCAATCTATATCCTGATACAGCAATTACCTCAGTGCGACCCTACCTAGAAGTTGGAGCCCCTAGGAAAGCAGCATTATTTACTATGATATGCTATGCTATGCTATGCCATGCTATGCTGCGCTATGCTATGCTGTATTATGCAATGCTGCGCTATGCTATAACACGCTATGATATGCTATGCTAAGCCATGCTATACCATGCTGCGCTGTGCTATGCTATGCTAAGCTATGCTATGCTATGCTATGCTACGCTGCGCTATGCTATGCTATGCTATGCTATGTTATGCTCTGCTATGCAATGCTTTGCTATGCTGCACTATACTATGACATGCTATGATATGATATGTTTGGCGATGTTATGATTTGCTATGTTATGTTAGTGCAGCGCTGCGCTATGCTAAGCTAAGCTAAGCTAAGCTAAACTAAGCTAAGCTAAGCTAAGCTAAGGTAAGCTAACCCTCTAGGCAGAGCGTAGATAGGAAATTACACCCATGCTAATGTCTTTGTCACAGCGAATGTCTTCTAAAGATGACCTGGATGACGCAGAGCGTAGAACTTCGCCTCGGACACGCTTCATGTCCTGTTCACGCGAATGCCGCTTCCCTGTGCGGGAAGGTGGGCTGTGCAGCACCACCGAGACATCCCCGCTGGCGCTGCATGGCCCTGCTCGGAGTGTGGGCTGTGCAGCACCACCGCTCCTGCGGCGCCTGGCCTCAACTCGGCGAGGCTCATCAGCATGATCGTCGTCGTCGTCGCCGCGACGATGGCGCAGACAGCCGCGACTGCGGCTAGGCTCGCGGCGACCCCCGCTTTGACACAGATCGATCACGTCCGCCGCTGTCAGGGGCCTGCCTCCGCGCGACGTGGGGTGGGGCATCACCGGCGGCCCGAGCTTCACCAACTCATCCCAGATGTCCAGTGGCTCCAGCTGGAAGTATTCGGCAACCTGGAACCACGAGTCGCACCTCTCCAGCCAGTCGTCGTCTTCACCAAGCCACCGCCTGCTGTCCACAGGGCGGATGCGCGTGTACTGGATGACGCGGCCCTTGCTCCGCCTGATCGACAGGCCCGAGTTGCCAACTCCGTCGTTCAAGACACTCCACAAACACTCGAGATCGTTGTCGATCATGTGGGTCAGCTGCAAGTGCCGAGAAGCAACACCCTTACCATCCTCCCCGTTCTTCTGAGACGTCAAATGGATGTTCGCGTCAGGCATCCCCATCTCGAGCAAGCCTGTGCCCCGGATCAGCCTGACGACCCACGCCTCTACCCTGCCAAGGCGGGCCTGGTGCGAGTACCATGTGCCCCGTGTCGCGCGACTGACGACATGCATGTCTTGCAGGCCGCACTCAACCGCAAAGAGCACAACGAACGCCCAGAAGCCATCCTCGACAACCGTGTACATCTTGCTGCTTTCAACCCGCTGATCGTCCTTCCGCTTGGACGCGACGTCGCCCACATCAATGGCCACAACAGGCCGGGTGGGCTGTGCAGCGCCACCTTGTGCCGAGGCGGGCTGTGCAGCACCGCTGCGCGCCTCACTCCGCCAACCTCGGGACATGAGCGTGGGCGGCTGTGTGGCAGGGCCTCCAGACTTGAGCCAGAATGGTTACGGAAGGCACTGCTTGCGGGGGCTCTGGTCCGGCCATCGAGGCTAGCTCGGCATCTATCGTACATTGCTTTTGTTTTGCCTTTATTTGGCTTTGCTTTTGCTTTTGCTTTGCTTTGCTTTGCGTTGCTTGTGCTTTGCTTTGCTGTCGCTGCTGTTGCTTTGCCTTTGCTTTGCTGCTATGCTCTGCTATGCTATGCTATGCTGTGCTATGCTATGCTATGCTATGCTGCGCTGTGTTGTGTTGTGCTGTGCTGTGCTGCGCTATGCTATGCTACGCTATGCGATGCTGCACTATGCAATGCTATGCTGGGCTATGCTATGATATGCTGTGCTGCGCTGTGCTATGCTACGCTATGCTCTGCTGTGCTCTGCTATGCTAAAACTCAGCGAAACCAAGATGAAGGCAAGTTAAGCTAAGCTAGACCTGAACTAAGATGAAGCTAAACTAAGCAAATACGAGATAAGCTAAGCTAAGATGAGATAGGCAACGCTAAGCTAAGGGGGCGTAGCTGGGGGAACCGCGGGGCGGATGCCGGGGGAACCGCCAGGGGCGAGTTGCATTGCCAGGCCCCTTTAAGCAAAGAGAGTAAGAACCCTTCTAGGCAGAGCCTAGGTAGGGAACGTTCAGATACGATAGTCTTTTCCAACGTCTAGGTAGAAGGTCGCGCCAGAATGGTGCGGCTCAGGGCGCCCTTGTGAAAGTACGGAGCATACGTGGCAGCGGTGGCAGCGGTGAGCACGAACAGGTCATAAGCACACACACGCACCGCACACATACTCGGCACAAGTTTCTGCATGGGTCTGCATGCAATGCCATCGGTCCGAACTAAAGAGTGGCATCGGTAGGCGATGCAAGGACATGCTCGACACGAATAGACGGCCCAGCGGAAGCACCTTCACAGCAACTAGAATTCAACCATTGTAGAAACGAAGTTTCCCGTGGTGTCGTATGCTATGGATAGAGACACGAGCTTGATGACTCTACTCGAGAGTCACAAAGAAATCAACACATGTCGGAGCATTGAAATTGACTTCTGTACTGGCTCAGCGGCGGTGGCCTTGCTGCAGAGCGTTCCACGCGTCCTTTGCAAAACGGCACGCGCACATCCTGCGGGTCCTGACTGTTGCTCAGCAAGGTTCAGTGAGTCTTGCAAGTCAGACAGGTGAGCCATCAACTGGCGGCATTGCGTCCAGGCTTGAGGCGATGACTCTGGTCGACGCACTGGCAGATCACATACTCCGACACCTTCGGTGTCGCTCCAGCATCTTCCCGGGCTTTGCCAGCGGCAGAGGCTGCTGGAGAAGGCCTGCGTCGTCGTGTCCTGTTGGCCGCCCAGCTGCTCGTCGGGCACGTTCGTAGCCATCCCCACCACAGTCGACACCGTACTCTCGGTCGAAGTGGAGCGGTCGGCAGCAGGTGGCGTATGAGAAACGTTGCTCTTACCAGACGCGCGCCACAACCACGGCATCGTTAGAATAATGAGAACAGCCGTCACAAGTACGCTGGGCGAAATTGGAAGTATCACCGAGCAAACATAGATACCGTATTGGCCCACAAACTTCGACTTTTGCTCTCCGTAGCCGTAGCAGTAGTAGTAGTAGTAGTAGTAGTAGTAGTAGTAGTAGTAGTAGTAGTAGTAGTTGTAGTAGTAGTAGTAGTCGTAATTGTAGTAGTCGTCGTAGTAGTTGCCGTCAAAGTCGTCGTCGTCGTCGTCGTCGTCGTCGTCGTCGTAGTAGTAGTAGTAGTAGTAGTTGTAGTAGTAGTAGTAGTAGTAGTAGTCGCAGTAGTCGTAGTAGTCGTAGTGGTAGTAGTCGTAGTCGTAGTCGTAGTAGTAGTAGTAGTAGTAGTAGTAGTAGTAGTAGTAGTAGTAGTAGTAGTAATAGTAGTCGTAGTAGTAGTAGTAGTAGTAGTAGTAGTAGTAGTATTAGTAGTATTACTAGTACTAGTACTAGTACTCGTCGTCGTAGTGTCATAGTAGCATAGTAGTGGTAGTTAGTATTACTAGTAGTATAGCAGTAGTCGTATAAGAGTTGTAGCATGTAGTAGTAGTAGTAGTAGTAGTAGTAGTGTAGTAGTAGAGTAGTAGTAGTGGTGGTGGTGGTGGTGGTGGTGGTCGTGGTGTTAGTGGTGGTGGTGGTTGTAGTAGTAGTCGTCGTCGTCGTCGTCGTAGTAGTAGTAGTAGTAGTAACACTAGTAGTAGTAGTAGTAGTAGTAGTAGTAGTAGTAGCCGTCGTAGTTGTAAAGATAGTGGTATTCGTAGTAGTAGTTGTTGTAGTAGTAGTGGTAGTAGTAGCAGCAGTCGTAGTAGGAGTCGTAGTCGTCGTAGTAGTAGTCGTGGTAGTAGTAGTAGTAGTAGTAGTAGTAGTAGTAGTAGTAGTAGTAGTAATAGTAGTAGTAGTAGTAGTAGTAGTAGTAGTAGTAGTAGTAGCACTAGTAGTAGTAGTAGTAG